GACATGCCTGAGTTGTCCAAGTGGTTACTATTGTAGAACTGGCTCAAGCAATAAAGATGCTTGTTCCTCAGAAAACAATCAACCTGTCACAGATGCTACTTCGACTCAAGCTTGTTTGAAATGTCCTAACGGCACATACACTTCGAACGTTGGGCAATCGAATTCCCTTACTTGCCCCAGTGGTGACTATTGTCCAATAGGTGCGAACAACGTACAATCATGTCCTTCAGGAACCTATCAGCCCATTGAAGGTAGTTTCTCGGTTGTAACTTGCTTACCATGTCCAAAGGCTACCTACAATCCGAGAATTGGATAATCGAGTTGCTCCATTTGTCCTACCGGCTACTATTGTACACGTGGCTCAAGCAGTTCACAATCATGTCATTCTGGAACTTATCAACCATTTACAGGTGGTGCCACTGCACTAGTCTGCTTGATTTGTGCTCCTGGCACTTACAATCAATATCCTGGAGCCTCGGTTTGTTCGACTTGTCCAACAGGTTCTTATTGCGATATGTCTGAAGCAAGCAGCCCGCAATCTTGTCCTTCTGGAACCTATCAGTCAAACATAGGTGTTATCTCGTTCCAGGCGTGTTTGAATTGCCCAAACGGCACTTACAATACAAATCCCGGACAGTCGTTCTGCTTCAGTTGTTTTAGTAGTTACTATAGTTATTGTGCATCTGGAACATTACTGTGTCCTTCAGGAACCTATCAAAGTTCCATGGGAAATTTCTCAAGTTCGATCTGTACGAATTGTCCTATTGGTACCTACAATCCATCACCTGAACAATCAGTTTGTTTGAGATGTCCCATTGGCTATTATTGTGATGTTGTTGGAGCAAGCAACGCAAAAGCGTGTCCTAGTGGTACCTATCAACCAACTACCAGTGCTAACTCAGTTCAAGCATGTTTTTCATGTCCCAACGGTACTTACAATTCATATGCCGGGCAGCCGAGCTGCTCCGATTGTCCTGCTGGCTATTATTGTGGAGCTAGATCAAGCAACACCCAATCATGTCCTACTGGAACTTATCAATCAGTGCAGGGTAGGGCCTCGGTTCAAGCGTGCTTGAAGTGCCCTGTAGGTATCTATAATCCATCTACTGCTCCTGTTCAGTTGCTCGAGTTGCGATATGGGTGCTTACTGCGATGGAAGTGTAGCAAACAGCGTGAAATTGTGTCCTTCAGGAACCTATCAACCACTGACGGGTGGCGTTTCGATTCGAGCATGTTCAACTTGTCATGCTGGGAGCTATAGCTTATCTGCCGGACAGTCCACTTGTACTATTTGCTCTGTCGGCTATTATTGTGATATATCTGGTGCGAGCAACGCTGGAATTTGTCCAACTGGAACCTATCAACCAAATTCAGCTAGTGTTTCAGTTCAAACCTGTTTGAAATGTACAAACGCTACCAACTCAGCAAATCCCGGGCAGTCGACTTGCTCCTACTGAGGCATCGACTATGAATACATGAACACTTGCAAAACTATAAAACATCTATGGGTTGATAACATATTAATGACTCTAGCTGTTTAAAATCTCAATTCTATATGTTTTTCTAACAAAATCATTTTATAATCTGCTGCTTTAATTTCAATTTGCCTAAATTTCTGTTTTTCTCTTATTCGTCTCGAAATCCATCGTGTAATGGGCATGAAGTGTGAGTGTGGGTATGGGTGTGGAATGTGGATGTGGGTATGGGCGTTGGTGTGGGTAGCTCGATAGTTAAATGCACGCCCTCACCCAAACTCTATTATGGCTGAATTTTGTTAAGCAGAAACTTTGATGGTGTAACATTATTGGATGAAACCTTCTATAACTCAGCATTGTTGGAAAGAACCATTTAAATTACTGTATTTTGGTGAGGAACTTTAAAAGATTTTGCTAAATTTGCAGAACCATAAAACAATTCTTCAATACTCCTTTTTTTCTTTCTGAGCACACTCATACTCTCCATCTATCTAATTCGCACGGTCTTTCGACAGACATCTAATACTATGGAAGCTTACATAACAATTGTTCAGTGAAAACACACAACAACAACATTCCAAATGATGCAGTTAATTTTATATGAAATCTTATATTGTATTTTTATTTTCAAAATGAATTAATATGCCGTGTGAACTTTGTGTGCAAACATTAAGCGAATGCATATTGAATAAAAGATTTTAAAACATATGAGCTATGAAATAATATTGAAAGCATTAATTATAGTTATTAAGAGCAGGCTCTTCAACGAAATTTGATGGTGCAGATGCTTGGTTCGGAGCAACACGATATCGATTGTGAAGACGAATAACTATTCGAACGAGTAAAGGTGATACAAACCGAAGGACAACCATCAAACCGTTGTAAATACTTAAGAATGTTGTTATAATATCCAAAAAATCAAAGCGATAATAGTAGGCGAATGTACATTCATTGGGTGCACAATCATCAAAAAGCATCTCATAAGAAATATTACTCGTCCATGATTCGATGAACATGGCATTGGTGATAGTCAATAATGATTCATTTTCAGCAAATCGTGACAAGGAACTGTTCAGAGGTTTGAATGGTTCTGAAGGCATCGGCCAAGTATAAGATGCGATAACACTATGGTTACTTATGGCATGAGTTAATGTGTCTATACATTCAGATGAATAGAAGCAAGCTAAAGAAGATTGAAGCACTCCATCAATCAGCGAACAACTTATATATATTCCAGGAACCAAGTAATAGTCTGAGGCAACTTCAGAGAAAATTTCAAATAAATGTGCTTCTCTGAAACACGATCGCGATGTAGCACATGAGCAAGTACGATTCGTGTATGCATTCTTAGAGAGAATAGGTAAACTAAAAATAGTTGCGTTTTGAAAGTTGAGGCTACTGAGGTGAAAGTTCCAATTAAATTGAAGTCGATCGATGAAAGCATCTCCGTGCGCAATTAAACGAAAAACCTCTAGATTTTGCTTAAATACAACAGATACTGATGTGTAAAACTGATCTAAGATTGAATTGATTTGCTGTTGAAATTGTTCTCGTGATATCATTTGATCTATAACTAGTGTTCGAGATCGAAATACTGACGAACTGCTGGCCAAACAATCCTGTGCCAGCGAACACAAATCTTGAATGGCGATAAAAAAATATTTACCCCAATTACGAAAATCATCTTCTTGCATTTCAGCACCCAAACTAAAAGTAGCTGTAAGATAATTTATCCATTTATCCGATACGAACACACTAGTGCAGATCGGATGCAGAGCCTTTACATTCAGTTGACTGACAAAAGCACTAAATTGGACAGATTTTTGTGTACATGGACATCGAAGAGTATTCGGATAGAGATGAAAGAATCGCTCAAAGCCATCAATGGACGGTTTTGAATATATCATAGTTTGAACGCGAGTCAACACACTTGAATAAAATATGAAGATGGTAATAGATGAAATCATAAGTATGAAATACACTCGCGTAAACCATTGTTGTCGACGTATCATTGTTGGGTCGTTATCATTCGATTGAAAAAAGTTCAATTGAACCAGTGTTCGAAGAAATCGTCTAGGTTGGAATATGGTTGATAATCCACCTGAAAGCAGCATCAGAATATTTATTATAAAAATCAAATGACACGAATTTAGCATTAAAAATTAACTCTCGTTATTTTCACCTTTTCATTTCATTTAGAGTTATGGTATATTATACAACTATTATTTTAGCTAAATGCTTGCAGAGATAAGTATGCCTCATTAGTATAAATTCCTACGAGTTCAATGGGTCAAATATACCTCAATGCTCAGCTCATTCTCTTCTCCATATCACAACACATTACTTCAATTCGGCGGACAGCCTAAAATCGAAGGCAAGAACAGAAAAAGCCACATGCGTGATACTCTCATCTAGAAAGATGTGGTATGACTCCTTTCGAGACATTCTTCCTCCCTCCGTGCGCCGAATACTATAAAGTAAATTCGGGCAAAGGCATTATCCTCTAATACTTTTTCTTCTATGATCTCATTCGATTTCCGAAAATCGGCTCGGTTTTCGGAAATCGATTTTGTGTCCGAAAGGTACTGAGTTTTCTAGAAACTTGTATAGCGCATCATATAGCTCTGATTGTACGACGAATGGATCTTGTAGAATTGCGCTTGAAATAAGAATCAGATATGTGGAACAGGTTCATCAGATGACTATAAGTAACTTAAAGTGTTTGATAGTGGAAACGGCAATGGTATGATTTTGCTGATGCAAACCGAATCATTTTGATTTCACACTTTCTGCGCCAAGAATGAGAAGTTTTCGTAGATAGATGAAAACTGTAGCATTATGCAAGGCATCAAAAAATACCAGAAAACATACATATATCCATATAACTATTAACTCAATTTTCCTCATGTCTAGTCAATTTAAGTTTTTCATTACTATTTTTCTTTTCATCGCAAACACATAATAGTGTTTAATGAATTTTTATCATACAGTACATATCCCAAATGATAATTCAAAATTTTGTTCATCGTCGTGATATCTTGTATAAATATGAATTAACAGGATCGAGAAAAATTAATTTTACTGTGACAGAAATATTCGTGTTTAGCATAATTTGTATGGCTCATAAAATGATCTATACACTCCTTTTTTATTCAAAAACATTTTCTTTTTTATGAGACGGAGTTAATTGAAGCTTTCTTAACGAGTACCCATTGGTAAATTAGCAGCAAAAAAACTTTCTACATTAAAATTAATATATATGTGTTCGCATAAAATAACACTACCAATGCATTTCATCGAATTCTTCTTATATAGGAACTACGGACCTAATTTTCGCCGTGTATCAATCCATATCGATCTCCTAGATCAACAGAAATCAATCGAATATTGATGTAAAATCAGTATAAATCCATTTTTCTTAGCTATAAAATTTAGTTTCCTATAGAATTTTTTCTACGTATCACTATAAATTTTGCCTGATCCCTAATATATTTCTAACAAATTTTCATTTGAACAAAATTCAAGCTAACACTGTTCATTGTACATACCACGTCCAAGCTGCAGGTTTCGCCATTTTCCTCGAGAAAAAAAAACAATATTTATAATCATTGGAACAATTAATCTTAAAAATCGATTGAGTCCACTCAAAATTGATATAACTAATAGAAGAGCAATAATCGTGTCTCGTTGTTCTATAATTTTATACGAACATGATATAGGTGCACATTGTTGATAAAACAAATCGAAATGAGCATTATTTGTATTCCATGATTCGATAAACATGCTATCGACTAGTTCAGCCGTTTCGCTGGTGATTTTATAGCGAGATATATTAAAAGTAAGTGCCTTGATATTTAGTGGTATAACACTTTCTGGCATGGCAAACCTATAGAAATTCAAAAGTATATCGAGAACGGTTTGATTATACCACCAATCGATCTTGGATCGATATAAACCAAATGAAGGTCTGCAACCAATAGACAATCCAGGAAAAAATGGGTTGGCAGTACCTAGATCCTCCCCGTTGCGGAATAGGAGAGGTACGAGCGCGCAAATAGAATAATCTAAACTGCACCAACATGAACCATTAGACGTGTAATCGAATTCGTGCACCTGCAGCCCGCTATAAAATTCCATTTCTTGAAAGAACAGCACACCGTCAATCTTCATTTCTAGAAGACCATTCATATTTGAACCAATCAAAAACTGATTTGCATCGATAAGCGAATCAATTAAACGCTTCATCTGTAGAAAATCGTTGACAATTAAGTTAATGAATGAATTTATGATGAATTCAGTATCGTGATAAAATGTGAATGAAGGTATTACTTTATCATTAATGTATTGGGTCAGAAGAAATGTTTTATAAGTATCATCAATAGTTGTCCTTGCTATTGAACAAAATGTGTTTAGTATTTCAAAATACGATGTACCAATTGTTCGAATATCAATCAATCCCATTAAAACCGATCCATACGCGAATCTAGTTGAATCAGCAGACAGTAGATATTGAAAAAATTCTTCTGACGTTAAATTGCTTGAACAAACTTGATGTTGAGTATAGGTAATACTCAAAAATTTTTCATAAGCAATCGATAACTGTGAGCAAGGGCAAATCAGTGTCTCATTATGATCACGATATAGGTTCAAATAGGTTGGCATGGATGGGTACACAATAGTCACTGTTTGAACGATTGCCGACAAGAAAATATAGAAAGTTAGCACGAAAACCGAAAATACTAGGAGAGCAATGAATGTTCGCGTTGTGATGCGTTCTATCTTTAGCTTTTCTTCTGTAGAAGGCGATTGACTTCGAAAAAGATTGAGATTCTTTAGATTTTGCCACACGATATTTGGAATGTTCCGAAAATATTCACGCATGAGTTGCACTAAGAAGAAATATACTACCATTACCTTTTCTAAAGGAAAGAATCTAGCTGACAAAACATTTTTGTCTACCTGTCTGTCCAACCAATCCGAAGTTAGCTTTTAAGGATAGATGCACAGAGGTTTGTTGAAGCTCGACAAATGTGTGATAATATGTAATCAAGCTTGGGTAATCAGAGTCTGAGCTCTATTTATCTCGAAAGCTCATGGGTAGCGGTAGACTGAAAACCAATAGGAATTGAGTTTTCCAGAAAAATAGCTTCAAATGAAGAATCTGATATGGAGATTTTAAATCTGAGCTCTATTTGTCTCGAAACATTATAGGTAATTTAAGAATAGGGTGTGAGTGGACTCAGAGAAGAGACACCCACAGCCACAGTTGCAGCCACATACCCACACTCCACAGACACACACACCGACACCCACATCCACACCTCACACCCACCCAACAGAATAATTGCGTTCCTTCAGAAAAGGGCAAGCAAATCTATGGATGACCACCATTTTTTATTAGTTGAAAAAACGTAACTTAGGAATCTGGTGTGAGGGTGACAGTGAATACGTGTAGAACAAGACATAACAATTACGATTTATTGCGCCTGTACAAATTCACTAAGAATCTATTTCTTTTTGAATGAATTTATATTTATAGATTTCTGCTTACTCTTTTCCAACAGATATCAAGACTCAAAACATCTTCATGTGATTCATGATCCCAAAAGTAGTTTTTATTACAATAAAGGACAAGTGGCGGTAAGGCCATTTTTTTGCCCACGATATTTTTCAAAACGAGTTACATATTCTGAATCAGCGTGAAATTTTGAGTAGAATGGTGCATTTTTTTCTGTCGAAAAAGGACTTTTATTTTTCACCTATCTTTTAGCACCTGGAGGAGACCCCAGAACCATCAAAAACTTTTTTTCTAATTCTATCGAATTGTATATCATCAGATGCCGAATTTGATGCTGATTCCAAATATCACCTTAAAATTCGCAAACAATGAAATTTTCCTCGGGACAAACCTATTTTATTATAGAAAGCTAATAGAGGACTATTTTCGGTTGCCGTCGTCAGGCGACCTAGCTACACCACTACAAAGCCTAAAAAGCACTCAGCCTGTGAGGAATTACTTTTCCAATCAGAATCATGTAAAAAAGCGGTTCAAAGCCGGGTTTTGAATAGTTTTGTGGTAAAATACTCAAAAAACTAGCACAAGACCAGGTTTTTCGGACTTTTTGCCGTAATATTATAGGGCAACAAAATCTCTAACTCATGAGTGACATATATCGATCGATGCAATTTTTCATGCTCTATCCGAATATGACTACAAAAATAGGAAAAAAAATGTGGAACATGCTTAAATACTGGACATACTCGGATCAGAGCAGAAAAGTCCAAAAATGCGTCGGTATTTCCAGACTATAACCAATAAAAATTGACTTTTGAGTAAAATGCATACGATACTTGGAATCAGCACTCAAAACTACATCTAGTAACAGGGATTCCGTCAAAAATTATTTTTTAATAAAATTCGACCCCTACTCCCCCTCAGCTCTTTTCTGCTGTAATTTCGCCTGTAGTCTCCCCAGAGAAATTTTGATGAGAAATTTGTTGTTCGATAGAATCTATGTTAATAGATGTAGTTTTGAGTGCTGATTCCAAATATCATATGCATTTTACTCAAAAGTCAATTTTTATTGGTTATAGTCTGGAAATACCGACGCCGTTTTGGACTTTTCTGCTCTGATCCGAGTATGTCCAGTATTTAAGCATGTTCCACATTTTTTTTCCTATTTTTGTAGTCATATTCGGATAGAGCATGAAAAATTGCATNGAAATAATAATGAACAACATTTTATTGTTAGTGCCAGTGAGGGTATGACTGCGAAAAATGGAGTAAGGAGGACAAATGACTTACACTACTTGAGACACACACACTGTGTGACCAGATGTGGTGCGGAAAAAGAAGTAAGGGGAAACACGACTTCCATCACTCTAGACACACACACCGCGTGACCAGGTGTAGGTGCGGAAAAGAGAGTAAGGAGGACAAATGACTTACACTACTTGAGACACACACACTACGTGATTAGATTGGGTGTGGGTGTAGATAAAGAGATAGAGAAAACGAAAATCCACACCCAGACCCACATGTCTATAAGATATGGTGTTTTATTCCAAACCTTTTCCACGAAGTCATTATCTGAACACAATTCACACACTACTTTACGACACTCTGAATCTTTATAAGATGTGAACTTTGCCTGGTAAAGCTTATAAATATAAAAAAGTCTCCTTGCCGATTGATCTAGTCTCTATTCCTAATAAAATATTTGTTTTGTGTTTTTGTTAGAAACATCATGTAATTATAAATTCTTCTCAAACTAAAAGATTTCAATCTTTCTCGAAAATGGTTTCTCGTTTTTTCTTTTTATTCTCTTAGAAGCTTCTTATAGTTGTAAATATCAATATGGTGAAAGAAAATTATCAACAACAGATTTTTAAAACAAAAGAAAATTTTAATGCTTAACATTGACTAGATATTTGATGTATTTGAAAAATCATTCTGAATAATACGAAAAAAAAGTTATATATTTTTTTATGTATTTGTCTTTTAAGAAGTTTTATAATGAAAATTTCAAATCTTCAAATCCAACTTTTCTTATAGCACAAGATTCTTAGTTACAACTCAAGCTTTGTGCATCTGACTGGTGTAACGTATAATTAATTAGGGTCGAGGAGAAGTTGGGGCGTCTTATATAATCGTGGTGGATGTATATAAGTGTGACTTGAAGGATGCACAACACAAGGAACAATAAACCGTGTTAATTTATTTGAAATGATGAGACACGGATATACAATGTTTAATGTAAGAAGACACGGCACACAATAAATTCGAGTGAATGGGTGTCTCTATAATGTTATGATCCTTGACCCAGCCTAACTTCGTTACTTGTTCACCAACCTATTTGTTTATCAATCAATTATACCAGCTGTAACCAGCGGAGACTGAACTGCTTCGTATTCTAAACGAACTGCCTCGTATTCAACTACTAACTGCTTTCTGTTTGTCTCAGAGACACCCATATATAGAGAGAGAACGGGAGAGAAAGAAAAGAGTGAGCAATGGGAGAAAATAGACAAAATGGAAGAGAAGAAAAGGAGAGAGGAAAGAAAATCAAGAACGAATTACGCGATGCTCGAGCGAGAACAAGGGGCGGGATACCAAAGGACACCCGACGTCCTATGTAAACGCTATTAGTCTCATCACGTTGGGATAATGTGCTTCTTAGCACCGTATGACGCGATATCGACTGGCGTAATCCGAAGAGGCCAAGTGCTCTATTGGCACAGTGGGTAGATGTGATGAGTACTGCCAGACCCACACACACACCCACACCTGTACCCACACCCGCACTCACACTCTTGTGGTTCAATCTCTGTGAATAAAACACTTGTTATAGTTCAGCATCTTTTGACAGAACTCTTAAACGTTCAGCATTATTGGCAGAATCTTTTTAGTGCAACATTTCAGGACAGAATACTTTTTATGGTTCAGCATTCTTCTGGCTAAATCTTAGAAGGTTCAATATCATTTCACAGAACCTGTTATGCTTCAGCATTGTGACACAGAGCTTTTAATGGTTCGATAGAGTTATGTACAACATTTTTCATGATTCAGCAGAGTTAGACACAGAATCTGCCATGGTCCAACGGTTCAAAACAGAACCCTTCATGGTTCAGCATTGTTTAGCAGAACTTTTGATGGTTTAACATTATTGGGCGAAACCTTCTATGGTTCAGCATTATTGGAAAGAGCCTTCTAAAGTTTTGTATTTTTACACGAAACTTTGAAATGTTCTGCTAGAGTTGCAGAACCATAAAACAGTTCAACAATACTCCTTTTTTTCTTTCTGAGCATATGCACACCCACACGATTCACCTGTCCAACTCGCACGATTTTTTGACAGACATCTTATACTATTGAAGTTTATATAGCAATTGTCCAGTGAAAACACAACAGCAAATTTCAAAAGATGCAACGTGCTTTATATGAAATCTTATATTGTATTTTTATTTTCAAAATGAATTAATGTGCTGTGCGAACTTTGCGTGCAAACATTAAGCGAATGAGTATTTACTGAAAGGTTTGTAAACATATAGGCTATGAAATAATATTGAAAGCATTAATCATGGTTATTGAGAGCAGGTTCTACAACGAAATTGGATTGTATGGATGTTTGGTTCGGAGAAACACGAAATCGATTGCGAAGACGAATAACTATTCGAATGAGTAAAGGTGATAAAAATCGAAGGATAACTATCAAACCACAGTAAATACTCAAGAATGTTGTTAAAACATCCAAAACATCAAAGCGATAATAGTGGATGAATGTACATTCATTGGGTGCACAAACATCAAAAAGCATCTCATAAGAGATATTACTTGTCCATGATTCGATGAACATGGCATTGATGATAGTCGATAGTGATTCATCTTCAGCAAATCTTGACAAGGAACTGTTCAGAGGTTCGAATGGCTTTGAAGGTATTCGCCATATATAAGATGCGAGATAATTACGACTACTTATGGCATGAGTTAATGTGTTCAGACATTCAGACGAATAGAAGCAGGCTAAAGAAGATTGAAATACTGCCTCAATCAGTGAACAACTTACATATATTCCAGGTACCGAGTAATAATAGTCTAAGTTATATGTCCAGGTAAAGTCAAATAAATGTGTTTCCACTAAACACGATCGCGATGTAGCACATGAGCATGTGCGATTCGTGTGTGTATTCTCATAGAGAATAGGTAAACTGAAAAAGGTTGCGTCTTGAAGGTTGAAGCTACTGGCAAAAAATTTCCAGTTAAATTGAAATCGGGTCATGAAAGCATCTCCATGTGCAGTTAAACGAAAAACTTCCAAACTTCGCGTAAATACAACAGATACTGATGCGTAAAACTGATCAATTATTGAATTGATTTGCTGCTGAAATTGTTCTCGTGATATCATTTGATCTATAACTAGTGTTCGAGATCGGAATACTTGCAAACTGCTCGCCACACTATCCTGTGCCATCGAACATAAATGTTGAATAGCGATAAAAAAATATTTACCCCAATTACGAAAATCATTTTCTTGGATTTGGCCCGCCACAGAATAAGCAGGGGTAAGATAATGTATCCATGTATCCGATACGAATACACTAGTGCAGATCTGATGATGAGCCTTTACATCCAGTTGACTGACAAAATCATTAAATTGGATGGATTTCTGTGTACATCGACATCGAAGAGTATTCGGATAGAGACGAAAGAATCGCTCAAAGCCATCAATGGACGGTTTTGAATATGTCATAGTTTGAATGTGAGTCACCAAACTCGAATAAAATATGAAGATGGTAAGAGAGGAAATCATAAGTATGAGATACACTCGCGTAAACCATTGTTGTTGATGTATGGTTGTTCGGCTGTTCTCATTCGATCGAAAAAGGTTCAGTTGAACCAGTTTCTGAACAGATCGTCTAGGTTGGAACATGGTTGATAATCCACCTCAAATCAACATCACAATATTTATTATAAAAATAAAATTACAAGAATTTAGCTTTAAAAATTAACTCTCGTTATTTTTGCCTTTTCATTTCATTTGGAGTTTTGATATATTATACAACTATTATTTTAGTTAAATGTTTTGTAGAGATAAGTAAGCCTCATTAGTATGAATTCTTACGATTCGATGCGTTATTCTAATTTCCAGGAAACTGATTTTACTGCAACGAGATGGACAAGAGATTCAAAATGGACATAAAGGGCATATATGACATAATGGATATAATGGACATATAGGATCTAATCAGTTCATAGTGTCAAATATACCCCAATGTTCAGCTCACCCTCTTTTTCCATATCACAACACTTTACTTCAACTCGTCGGACAGCCTAAAATCGAAGGCTAGAAGAGAAAAAGCCACATGCATGGCACCCTCATCAAGACAGATGTGGTGTGGCTCCTTTCGCAGCATCCTCGCCCCATCTATTCGCCGAGCACTATAAAGTAGCTCTGGGCAGAGGTATTACCCGGCAATAGTTTTTTTCTTCTATAGTCTTATTCGCTTTCCGGAAATTGGTTTGGTTTCCGGAAACCCATGTACTTTCCCGGAAACTAATAGAAGATATCCTATGCTACATGCCCTATATGTCCTATATGGTCTATATGCCCATTAGGTCCACTAAGGAAACTATGTGAAGTTTCCACAAATGAGATGGGTTACCGGAAATCGATTTGGTGTCCGAAAGCTACTGAGTTTCCTGGAAACTTGTATAACGCATCACATAATTCTTAATGCTTGTGATTTCATCACATTACTGAATTTAACACTATATTTTGTTCGACGATGAATCTGTTCTAATTATAACTCGATGAACTCTATCGATTAGTATACTCACATTTTTCAGAACATCCTCTATGATCCACAAATTCATACTCTAGGCTGTATATAAAATCTGATTGTACTACCGGATGGATCTTGTGGAGTTGTGATTGAAACAAGAATCAGACAGTTCGAACAGGTTCATCAGATGACTATGAGTAACTTTAAGGATATGATAGTGAAAACGGCAATCACGTGATTTTGCTAATATAAATGGAATTATTTTAATTCAACACTCTTTCTGTGCAAAGAATGAGAAATCTGTGTAGATAGATGAAAACTGTAGCATTACGCAAATCACCCAAAAACAAAAAAACTTCCATATATTCATATAACTATTAACTTCATTTTCTTGATGTCTAGTTAATTGAATTTTTTCGTTCCTATTCTTCTTTTCATCGCAAACACATGATAGTGTTTAATGATGAAGTATCATACAGTACATATTCAAAATGATAGCTCAAAGTCTTGTTAATCGTCATGATATTTTGAACAAATATGAATTAACAGGATCAAGAAAACTAGTATAACTATCACAAAAATATTTGTCTTTCACCTAGTTTGTATGGCTCATAAAATGACCTATACGCTCCTATTTATGCAAAAACGTTTTATGTTTTATGAGATGAGGTTAATTTGAGCTTTCATAACTTTTACACATTGGTAAATTATCAGGAGGAAACTTTCTGCATTAATATTAATAGATATGTGTACCCATAAACTAACACTACCAATTTATTTCATCAAATTCTTCTTATATAGAAACTATGAACTAGGGCTCGAAATGGGCCGTCCGGCCCAACCGATTCTTTTTGCCAGGCCGGGCGAGCCGGCCCGCTACTTATATGTTGTTGTTTTTTGTTTTTACTATCGACTTTGCTTTGTCTTTTAAATTAGACATCATCGAAAATGTTTAAGGAGAGAAAAAACATATGAGTTTTACGTCTGATTAATAGTTAACACTACTTGAACTCATCTTTTCTCTGGTTTACACAATATTCTAAAATACATAAACTGTGTTAAATAGCGTTAGAAAATCTTTAACAGAAATAATGTGTCGAACATATACCGTTACCGATAGCTGGCCTTCCACTGAGGGTCCGTGAAAAAAGAGTAGTAAAGAGGATCAATGTAAAAATAAAAAAGAGGAAAAGTAGGAGGGTCTTATTTCAACCCTCAAAATCATAAAAAACACTCAAAGTGAAGGAAAAGCCCAACATCGCAAAACTGATCCCTGATTAATCTCTGTTTGTTAGTGGCTTTAAATATAATTATGTTTCGCTATATTATAATTGAATTAGGGATGCCAAACAAACTATCGAAGTTCTTTTTATTTTTTACTACCCGCATTGGATGTTGTACAAGTCGATTAAAGTTCAATCAATTACTTGTCATCATCTTTCACTCCGTTTGCCTATCTTGTTGCAATTTAGTTCCGTTTTAGTTCTTTTTCTATCTAAGATAGTTGCGCATAGTATTTTCATAGGTCTAGCATTTTTGTTGGTATGAAAAAGAAAAACAAGAGAAAAAAAATCAGCGTTCACTATCATACATGAGCCTACTACTGCTAAATAAATTTATCTATGCTAAGTTTTTCTCTGTACATTTGACTTTTTGATAAAAAAGAGGTTAAAAAGAGGAGTTCAAAAGAATTTCATGGGATGCATATCAGTTACTGGCAAAAGACGATATTTGGAATTTTGAGCTGCTTTTCTAAGAGAAGTCTTTCCCGACTTCGATCATAAAGAGACCTAGCATGTAGTAGAAAATAATTAATCAGCGTGTTAAAAATTCTTGACATTCAAAGTTAGAAGGCTCACCTCTAAATTGGAGGCATCCATAAATTTTTCATTCTTTTTTTAACGGCTATTCGCGATTGCGAGCTAGTTCCTTGGATGGTCAAAACTGAAAAAACGTTTTTACTCAGAAATAGAATAATTTTCATGAATAAAACTCAATCAAAATTGTGTCATAGGATATCGAGCAATTTATAACAGTCATTACTGATTTTGAGTAGGCTACAGTGTATTATCTTTGGACTAAATAAAAAATTTCTTAAACAAAATTTTGTTGGGGCCTGGGCCGGGCGGACCTACATAATGCTCTGACAGTATTGCGCCAGACCGGACCTAATTTTCGTGGCCCACTTTGAGCGCTGCTATGAACCTAATTTTTGCTGTGCATTAATCCACATCGATTTCCTTGATCGACAGAAATCAAGTGAATATTGATGTAAAATCAGTATATATCCATTTTGCTTAACTATACACTTTAGTTCTGTACAGAATTTTCTCTACGTATTACTATAAATTTTGCCTAATACCTGGTATACTTCTAACAAATTTTTCAAATTTTCAGTAGAACAAAATTCAACCTAAAACCCTTCATTGTACATACCATATCCAAACTGTAGGTTTCGCCATTTTCTTCGTAAAAAGAAAACAATATTTATAATTATTGGAACAATTAATCTTAATAATTTATTGAGTCCACTTAAAATTGATATAATTAATAGAAGAGCAATAATCATGCCTCGTTGCTCAACAATTGTATACGAACATGATATAGGTGCACATTGTTCATAAAACAAATCGAAACGAGTATTATTTGTATTCCATGTTTCGATAAACATGCCATCGACTAGTTCAGCCGTTTCACTGGTGATTCTATATCGAGATGCACTAAATTTAAGTGCTTTGATATTTGGTGGTATTACAGTTACTGGTATGACGAATCTATAGGAATCCCAAAGTTTATAGAGAACGGTTTCATTATACCACCAATCGATCTTGGATCGATATAAACCAAATGAAGGTCTGCAACGAATAGAGAATCCAGGAAAAACCGAGACGTAAGCACTTTGGCTCTCCCTATTACCAAATAACATAGGTATGCGCACGCAAATAGAATAATCTAAACTACACCAACATGATCCATTGATGAAGAAACCGCGTTCCGATATGAGCGCCCCCATATAAAAAGGAACTTCTTTAAAGATCACCACTTTATTATTCGTTATGCTTGGGACACCATTCATATTCGTACCAATCAAAAACTGATTTGCATCGATAGCCGAATCAATCAAACGCTTCATCTGTAGAAAATCATTGATAGTTAAGTTAAGGAATGAATTTATGATGGATACAGTATCTTGATAAAATCTGGTTGGAGATATTACTCTATCATTGATATATTGGGTCAGACGAAATGTTTTATAAGTATCATCAATAATGGTCCTTGACATCGAACACAATGTGGTTAATATTTGAAAATAAGACGCACCAATTGTTCGAATATCAACCCATCCACTAAAACTCATTCTATATTCGAATCTAGTTGAATCAGCCGACAAGAGATATTGAAGCCATGCTTCTGACGTTAAATCGCTTGAACAAACTTGATGTTGAATATAGGTAATATTCAAAAATTTCTCATAAGCAATCGATAACTGCGAACAAGGACAGATCAATGTGTCTTTATGATCAAGATACAGGTTCAGATAGGTTGACATAGATGGATACACGATAGTCACTGTTTGGACTTTTGTCGACAAGAAAATATAAAAAGTTAACTCGAAAGTCGAAAATACTAGAAGAGCAATGAATGTTCGCGTTGTGATTCGTTCTATATTTAGCTTCTCGTCTGTAGACGGTGGTCGACTTTGAAAAAGATTAAGATTCTTTAGATTTAGCCACAGGATATCTGGAATGTTCCGAAAATGTTCACGCATGAGTTGAACTAAGAAGAAATATAACATCATTCCCTTTTCTGAAGGAAAGGATCTAGCAGACAAAAAATGTTTGTTTGTCTGGTGTCCAACCAATCAGAAGGTAGTTTTTAGGAATAGATGTATAGGAATCAGTCTAAGCTCCAAAAATGTGTGATAATATGTAATCAAGCCTTGTCAATCAGAGTCTGCGCTCTATTTGCCTCGAAAACCCATCGGTGGGCTGAAAACCAATAAAAATCGGGTTTTCCAGAAAATATCTCCAAATGAAGAATTTGATATGAAGATTTCAAATTTGAGCTCTATTTGTCTCGAAACCACATTGGTGAATTAAGAACAAATAGAAATCAAGTTTTCCGAAAAATAGTTCCTTTGTCGTCATTTGAGACGGAAAGTTTGAATCTGAACATAACTCACGTCGTAACTCTATTGCTGGGGTACCGGTAAGTCCGCATCAGCCATGACTATTCTTGCTCAATTAAGGCTCTCAGATTCTGCTGAATAAAAGATATCTGGTACGTTCAAGATGTTTATGACATTTGCTGAATAGTGCATTGAAAAATACTCATTTCGCAATTTTTTATGTCCTTTTTCTGAAACTCGTAGAAATGAACATACACTTTAGACGCTCTTTTAAGAGATCCATATCTCAAGACCGACTTAATCGATCAAGCTGAATTTGCTTATAAATACAGATGTTAGTAAGCTCTATCGAGAAAAAGGAATTTCGCTCAAGAGATTGAGTATTTGGTGTACTATGAATTGCACTATATCAACAGAGACTCACATTTTAGTCAAGTTTACAGCTTCAGAGTTCATGAATGGAACAAAGTAGAGATCTGAAATATTTATCGAAATTAGAATTTATAACAGTGAATTTTCTCTAAAGACTTGAGTGCTATACCCTGTACCGACAGATCAGAAAAGTCCTCTAAATAGATAAATATTTAATGAAAAATCATATTTTAAGCCAAGACTATCTTTCAAAATATGTGATAGTTCAACGGTTGATTTTCAGAAGTTGAAAGTACTGTTCTTAGCTCTCAATCGTATTCAGATGTCAGCATAGGATCTTTGAGAATGGACTTAGTGGGATTCTCGAAAGAAATAAAAAAGTATATTTGCTCGTGGCTAGCTATAAGTTTTATTAAGCGTTAATCATGTAAAAGATTGATATTACAAAAGAGCGTGCATGTTGAAAGACTGCCGAGAGTGGTGGAACTCTTACCGAAAAACAATAATAAAGAATTTGTGCTATTTCAAAATTACACAATCAAAGGAGAATCACTGAAATAGTGAAAGATGATACTTGTTTATGACAACTTTAAAATGCTATTGAAAAAACGTACATGACGTCATTGGACTACTGTTTAGTAATAACGCATATTTTATTGTTCAATCGACAAATGGTGCAATCATTCTTCAACAATCATTCTTCAACAATCACCTTGCCCTGCATAGTTTATTTCAGAAATTATTTCAGAACACCTACGTATGGCGATAGCAGCACTGATCCTCATCTTAGTTATATATGTATGATAATGTCGCTAATCTACAGTCATTAATCTAACTTTTTCATCTAGTGTATAATTAAGATGGTTATCTGTATTGTGTTTATAACCGTTTATCATCATTGACGTGTTCTCTCTCTCTCTATCTATCTATCTTTCGGTCGGACGCTTGCTCCTTNGTAAAGACTAGTGGGTTTGCTTAAAGGATTTGTTGTTGTAGCTGAAGATAAAATCAATACCAACAAAGTGGATCTTCTCGATCTAACTAAACGTCTGCTTGCTTTACCTGATAATAAAACAGAACATATACCTGGTTATCTACCACTCGTTTCTGGCATGCCTCTTTTATTACAAGAAACTATTCCCTGTGAACTGCATCTTTTCAATGGTACTCCAGATATTTTTCCAAGTTGATCTACGACGAAACAGTAGGACATACTTCTGGTTCGACTGAGGGTCTAAATACTAACGATACAATCTTCGTTCAGAATGCACATTACGCATTGATAGAAATAACAAAATAAAAAATGAACAAGTTCGAAAATCTTAAATCGCAAATTATTCCTGTTCGTGTCGTCGAGAAAACTTTCGAAGTCAGTATTCAGCAATTATACCCTGAAAAAGGTTCGATAATCAAAGTACTTGGTGCTAAAATAAAAAACAAGACCATAAACAGTATCCAGAGACGTCGTTTGCCGCTTGTTTCTGCATATTCAATAACAGCTCACAAGAGTCAAGGCCAAACATTGCTTAAAATCATTATTGATTTAAACATGCCTTCTGGAATGATAGAAGTTGCATCATCATATTTTCCTCTCTCGCATGTACAACAGCTTGCTAATGTTGCCATTCTACGAGATTTTAATATCAGCGCATTACGAATTAAGTCATCGAAGGGTGAAATAAACGAGCTGTCAAGGCTATCTGCCCTCTTCGAGCAAACAAAATGACGTTATACACATTACTTCAACTAATTGTAGATATCATATGGTCATTTGACTACAATGATTCTTCATAGAGCAAGTTCGTTTTTATTTACTATTAAATTCTCACATGGTATTATTTATTCCTTCGTTTAGATATGCCGTTATTGTTTAGGTTGCTATCGATCGCAATTTGTATATTAGAACTCTCTACTTTCACCAATGTATCTCTTGTTGATTGAACACTTCGCATTTGCATTATGTTTATGTCACTTTTATGTTTTACTTGTGAACCAATTACTTTAACGAGTCATTTAGCTCATTCTAGTATTAGTTAATGTAATATTTGAATTTGTCTATACTTACACATAATCAAATGCGATTTTTTATATGAAAAAATAACATTAATGAATATGAATATTATTAGCACAGCAACTTAAAAACAGAAATAGAAATAGTATGAAAAGAACAGATTGTACCATATTTCTATCTTGCGAGACTAACAGTTGCCTTTGTCAAAAGATCGTTATACGCCACTGGATATTCAGTTCATCTGATATTCAGCGATGAGATATACTTCTCCATCGCTCGATAGACCCAATCGCAACTAAATTTCTATGTATCATGTAAGCATAAGAGCTTACTACAATGAATCGTGGAAAATATTAAATGCGATTTCTTCGAGTGAAGATTAAGAAGAATAGAAAAACATACCATCATCTCACAGAAACGTAGCTAAACAGAACAATTGCGCTCCTACAAAAAAGGACAAGCGAATCTATGGATGAGCACTACTTGTTATTAGTTAAACAAAAGTAGCTTAGGAGTGTGGTGTGAGAGTCACAGTGAATACGGATAAAGCAAGGCAATCTTACCTTGATCTATCCTCACCTAATATCTTACGCTCAATTCAATATTACGATTTATTACGCCGGTACAGATCCACTAAGAATCTGTTTCTTTTTGAATGAACTTATATTTATACATTTATGCTTACTCTTTCCCAATCGATGCCAGTACTCGAAACATCTTCACGTGATTAACGATCCTGACAGTTGCTTTTCTTGCAGTGAGTTTCTGTGTCAGTAGAAGAAAATATTTTTAGGAAATGAGACCTATTATCGTTTCAAGTTATTCTTTGAAAGTTCTTACAAATCCCTTGAAAGTTACTTACAAACTCGTTGGCACAGCAATGAAGCATTGACTGTAATCCTTTCATTGGTTTGTAGTTGATTCTGTCGGTTTATGATGATCTTTGCAATCCAAGATGCTAACCAGCAAAGAACCATTGATAAAAAGCCATAAATACCGATGATAGTGGTGATAATGAAGATTGGTTGAAATCGATCAGGGTACGTATAATAGCAATACACAGGGTTACACTGAGCATAATACAAATCAAGAGAAGCATCGAATTTATAATTAACAATCATTAAATTATTGAGAAGTGACTCGATAGTAGCATTGATCGGAAAATCTTGATTGTTGTCAGCCGATAGCGGTTCAACATTATTAGCGAGATCATCATGAAGTAACAATAAACATGTTTGATTATAGTAGCATTCGAGTGTAGAACGCAATGTAGCTCTACTTACAGAACAATCATTGATCAGTCCTGGTACATTCATCGTTTGATTCAATTTATTGATGATGAAGGCCGCGCGTGGACATCCTTTTACATATAGACAGGAACAATTTTCAAAGTTTCTTTCCACTAAAAGCGCAGAGGAAATATCCATACTTCCGTCAAGCATTCGAAGATAGATATTGGTTCCTAAACTAGAAACTAATTGGTTGCCCATCATAATACTTTGTGTGGCGAATATCATGCGAGCTAATTGTGTTCGTGTCGTTTCCAACCAAGTACCAAAAGCTGCTTGAGCTTGAGTTGTGATCAATTGTCTTGTGGCTGCTGTTGGACTGAGAAGAGTTCCCTCTTGAAAAGCCGTCAATGCATCAATTGATGCTTGCTGACTCACCCGACACAGCGCCGCAATTACTTGCCAGAAAGAGCTGAGAAGAAATCGAATATCATCCGAAGTTGCAAATGTTGAATTCTTCTCGATGTAGATTGACTCAATCCATGCTTGTTCAATCAATTTACTTGAGCACACTTGGTGATATTGAAGATCGATAGTAACAAACTTATCATAGCCAATGGCCCAATTAGTACAAGGACAATTTAATGTATTTGGATAGCGTCGTACTAAATGTTCAAATTCAGATAAAGATGGCGAAGAAACAATATTCTCAATTGTGCGAACAACAAATGCTGCGATGCTTGCCGTAAGGAATAGAAGGGCTACCAACGAAAGAACATAGATTCGTGTTGTTAATCGACATCGATGAGTATCTTCTATGCCATTGATATTATCCTTGAATAAATTGAATTCAACAATGAATTTTCGAATATTGTTTAGATGATTATGTAGCATTTCTTTCTTAAAAGTAATGATGCATACAACTAACTATTACTTGTCTTTTTATTCCTATAAAAAAAAACAATTTGATATGCATTACGTCGACCATCTGGTGTTTAACGTTATCAAATTTTCAAAATAAAAGTATTTCAGTTACATTAAATTCAACAAAGAGAAAAAAAACAGTCACTTGATGATTAGTTTTTCTCCAATGCCATATGCATACCATGCAAGTCATGAATTTCTCAGTATGAAAATAAAAATAAACTGGTAGCAGAGTAACGCGAGAATGTCAGCGCCTGCCTTTTAACTTAATTTTTTTTCCATAATTCATCAATTGAGAGAAACTGAAAAATGAAAAAAGGCTCTCATGGAAAAAAGAAAATACCTAGATATATTTAAAACATAGTTGTTTCGATTTCCTATGCCCGGAATTAAATTGATACATCAATTTATATTTTATGAATAAGTTTCAAATAAATAAAAACTACAAACAACAAAATGTGTATTGTCTTTAGTTATTTCATGTTTGAATTCAAATACTGTGAGCATACTGATACAATTACGAGTTTCTAGCAACGATGGGTCTTGGAATTATTGTGACACGCTGCATTCATCATTATTATCCTTTTTCCATTTTCAAGGCTAAAGAATTGCATCCCATATTGCAAAAATCGCCGCAGTTTTCACGATATTCAAAATTTCAGCGAAAAAACAGTATTAATCGTATTTTGCTAAAAAATCCGCGATTAAATCAGGTTTTCTCGCGATTATGGAAGAAGAACCGATTTCCAAAAATTGGCGATAAATCGGAGTGATAAATCGCGTTCAATACCCGATTTCGATAAATAGTTATGAATTATGAAGTATTTCAAGAAATATTTTAATATTTATTAAACTGAAAGTCGAGTAGAATTTCCACATAGTTATTTAACGTAATTATGAAGATTTGGAATCAAAAGAAAGATTTCATTTCGATATGAATGTCACTACTGTAGTATGAACGAGATTGGATTATCTTAAATAACGATTGAACTGAACTTCCCGTTCGTATACATTTGTTTCCAAACCCTTTTCGATAATAGATAGTTTATTTCAGATATATTTTTACCTTAATTATTTTTCCATTAGGGTGTGGGTCTGGGTGTGGGTGCTCTCACACCCACACCCCACACCCACACCCTCAAATGATTAACTAAACCAGTTTTACTTAGAAAAAAAAATGAGTGAAGCTTTTATCTTTCCAATTCGTAATAACGATGTTAGACGACGCCACATTATGATAAAAATATGAACTAATCACTTTTAGAAACTTTTTAATTCAAGTCCATATTCATCAGAATGATGGAAGATTATAAGCGCCAAATAGAATTAACATATTCAATATATCTGAGATTAATTAGAGGCGGCGAAGAAATTTTTCAGTGTGTTGAATTTCGGTTTCCTAGTATGGGACCTAGATGAAACTCATGGAAGGTGATAGCGGACTTAAATGATGAACTTTTAAGAAATGAATTTTATATTTGGAGCTTGCAAAAGAATTTAACGTTTTTCTGAGGCTCACCCAGGTTTCATTGTTACTCTTATTAGTATTTTATTCTTTAGAATGTCATCGGAAAATAGGAAACTATTCGAGAGTTATAACATTTCGAAAATTTGCTGCATATTAATCCAATTTTATCAAAAACTCACAACGTGATAAATCTCGGACGGTTGCATATTTTGCGATGAAATTCTAAAAAATGAAATACTTATAAGAGTAATAGTGAAATCTAGGTGAGCCTCAAGAAAATGCTAAATTTTTTCGTAAGCTCCAAATATAAAATTCCTTTCTTTAAAAGGTCATCATTCAAGTCCGCTATCACCCTCCATGAGTTTTACCCTGGCCCCATGCTCAGAAACCGAAATTTAACACACTGAAAAATCTCTCCGCCGTCCCTCGTATACTACCAGATATAGTTGATCATGCTACTCTAAGAAACTCACATTTAAATCGCTTCGGTAGAGAATATTAGAAAAACCGCTGAGTTTTAATAATGAGAAGATGTAGCTAACTTGAATTGATTCGTTCAGACAGAATTCTGGTTTCCACATTAACTTCTCAGTCAATAGACAATTTGTTTAATCAAAATAAATTTTTAATGACTTGACACATTGAAACTTTTTTTTTTACAAAATGTCCTAAATATAAATTAATTTATATTTTATCATGTTAAAAAAGAAGACATTGTTTTTTTCAGTTTAGTTTTACAAATCTAAGACAGTAAGACTCTAAAATTCAATTGTTCGAACGGATTTGATCTTACAGAGTAATCTAGAAGTCAATTTTGCTTTATTGATTCAGTTATATGTGTAGCGGAATGTGCAAAATAAAATGATAAATGAATCGTCAATCAATAAATCGCGATACATTTTATTTTACTATGTAAACTGAGACAAACAGAAAATATATTCCAATAAAAATTCATGGTTTACAATCTCAAGTATGATTAGATTACTGTATATTTCGATCTATCAATTGTTCTATATCTCTGAATTTTAAAGATAAACGCATATAGATCGGGAGAGAGTACGAACCGAAACGACTGTCTACTGTGAAATATTTCAAAAAGGACGATGTCATGTGTTCAAATAAGAATAACATATGATCTTTCATGCAGTTTATTCAAACAATTTGACAATAAAATTATCGAAAATAGAAATCGACAAGTCAACTATTGTTCAGTCCAATAGTTTGATGTCCGTGATTGACAATAGTTTCACTTGACAATTGGCATTACTATCAAAAAATGTCAATATACTTCTAGCTGTTTCTTCGGGCTTATCAATAGCTAAAAAGTGGCAACAATCATCGAAAATAACACATTCGGAATTCGATAATAAACTACGAAAAAACTCTGCACCACTAACAGTATAGATCTAAGTAGAGAAGATAAGATTTATTTTAAAAAAGAAATATTAGATTTCATCATTGAATACTTTATCTTGCCGACCCCATAATATCAATGCTGGACTCTTTACTTGTCGCAATTTTTGATAATGTTCTTCGATTTTTGCACTATCATATCCAAGAAGTGAAGTAAGTATTAGAAAATAAACTGTTTAATTATGAACAATTTTCATATTGTTATAATAGTTTTTTTGTGTTCGTCCAATAAACGTAATCTCAAGTGCAGAAAACCATTGACAAATGGTGTAGGCAGCTTAGGTCTTTTTACTGTTTGTATATGGATCATTTGACGTAATTCTTCTAGTGTCTCCGGTAAAAGAGCATTGTATACATCTGTACGCAGTTGTCGGATTAAATCAGTTTCAGATGCTTCATTTGCTATTTTAGTTAGAAAAAATATATATAAACAAGTTATGTTGCATGCTTATAGAATGTTGTGAGACTTACCTATAGGAGCTAGTAAGCAAATCATGCTTACATATTCCGAGTATTTTGTAGCAAACATGCATATGACTGCGCCACCCATACATGCACCAATAATGTACATTAGTTCGGCTAAGCCCATCGCATAAAAAAACTAAGAACAAGATCAAGTTATCAGAATTAGTTCAAAGTTTTAAAAAGTAAATAATTAATTATGATCTATACCAATTTAAGGTTCTCCACAAATTTATCAATTGTATATATATCTTCTTGAAAGTCGATTGTTTCTCTATGACCAGGTAGATCGACAGTGATACAATGATAATTAGATGGAATATTCTATAGATGTAACAAATAATTGATTGAGATACGTAATATGATTCAATGTTGACTAACTTTAATAATTGGTATCCATGTTTCTTTATTAGATGAAAGTCCATGGACAAAAACAATAGTAGGTTTTTCTGAATTTCTTGAGCCTTTCTAACAATAACTAAATGAAGCAGCAAGTCCATTATTGTTACTGGATAATGAATGTTTAGTAAGACCAGCTCGATATTCAGTGAATCTATACAATTTGATCTATTCAAGATGTTGTAAATAATATTTTTTTTCACTCACTTATAATACAATTGAACAAGCCGTGCCTGCCTACACTTTATCAAAATATAAATGTTTTGTTCAAAAGTAAGTAAAAAACACTCACATTGTGAAGAGGGTGTGGGTATGTCATTGTTTTCACTTAGACTCACCCACACCCACACCCTCACACTGAATTTATATGATATTTCACCATAGATATCTAAAAAGTTTTGAAAATATAGCCTTAAATAATGTCACATGATCAATATAGAGGTGAAACGTCTAATTTTTATTTTCTTTTTGTTGTTGTTCATTTCATTTTTCTTTAACAAGTTGGTTAACAAATTAAAGTTGAACATTATCTATAAATACCTTTTTTTTTATATTGTTACATTTTTTTATTTTTGAGTTTATGAAAATCAATCAATGGTAACCTCCGATGAAAAATAAATTTTCTTATATATTTATATGAATTTTCAATGGTCAGTTGATTTATTCGATCTTATTCTAAGCATAGTAGTATAAGATCCTAACATAGACAGAAAAGTGAATTTTAATGTTAATTTACTTTTCTGTCTGTTTTGGGCTAAATGAAGGAAAATGTTAGCCAGATAGAAAAATAACATTGTTGCTCAACATGACAGTGTGTACATTTTTTCTTCATTGTTCTCACCGACGACAGTGAAGAAATGAACACACTATATATATATATATCTATATATATATAGATGACGAAATATTGAACCATATGGGTAATTATCTCAAGTTATGTCGATCGTTGACGTAAATCGAATGAATATACTTGATTTGCCCGATGAAATTCTACTTAATATCATCAAAAAATTGAATATGATCGATGTATTTTATTCACTGGTGGGTGTAAATCAACGATTTGATCGACTAGTACTCGATCCTCTCTACACTAATCATCTAGATTTAATCGTTAAAGCATTGCTTAATGATAATTTTTCAACAGAGAAACAAGTTCTTTCAAGAATTTGTGAAGAAATTTTGCCTCGAATTAATAATAAAATAAAGAAACTCACTGTTAATCAATATTCTATGGAAGATATACTTGGTGCTGTTGTCTATCCTCAACTTTATTCATTATCATTAATCAATTTTGAATCAGATACACTTTTACCATATTTACGAGGTATAGTTTTTTTTTCTATTTTCACTTGTTTAATCAAGAAAACATTTGTATACATTGAAGATGATACAAAACTTCGTTGTCTTCTCACTAATCAAATCACACATGTTAATATTAAGATGATTGATAAAAAACCAACAGTACTAGATGAAAATGAATCAAATTTATTTGCATTAATATTGTCTAGAAGCAAACGTCTAACTGATTTGACTTATAGTCAATGGTTTTGTAGTGAAAATTCACAGATTTCAATGTATAATTTGCCATCAACAAGTTGTGTTTGTTCAACACTTACCAAATTGAATATTGATGTTAATGATTTTGATGATTGTCTTTATTTTCTTGATGGACGTTTTGATTCTTTATCAACATTGATCATTTATATTCAGACAATTTCTTCTCCATTATCAAATATTGATAACACAGTAAGAATATATTTAATAATTGTATATGCATAAACATTATATCAGAAATATATCCTTTCTTCTTTTGTCTTTATAGAGACAACTTCCCAAACTCAAATGTTTATCTTTAATAACTTATTGTCGAACACAATTTTATGATAGTAGAGTTGTTCCATTACTATGTCGAATGTCAAATCTTGAAGAATTAACATTATATCTATCGAGACAAAGAACTGAATCGACTCATATGGATGGAGATCATTTATACAATGAAATTTTTATTCATATGCCACAATTAAAAAAAATTATTTTCAGTATAAATACTCTTGTTATCAACAAGAATATTCGAATTANGCGGCTGGGGCATGAGCTTTGATAAATTGTCTTGTAGCTGCTGTTGGACTGAGAAGAGTCTCCTCGTGGAAAGCCGTCAATGCATCTAATGATGCTTGCTGACTCACCCGACATAGCGCTGCAATCATTTGCCAGAAAGAGCTGAGAAGTAATCGAATATCATCTGAACTTGCAAATGTTAAATTCTTCTCGATGTAGATTGATTCAATCCATGATTGTTCGATCAATTTACTGGAGCACACTTGATGATATTGAAGATCGATGGTAACGAACTTTTCATAGGCAATGGACCATTTAGTGCAAGGGCACTTTAATGTATTTGGATAGTGTTGTACTAAATGTTCAAATTCATATAAAGATGGCGAAGAAACAATATTCTCGATTGTGCGAACAACAAATGCTGCAAAGGTTGCCGTAAGTAATAGAAGGACTACTAACGAAAGAATATAGATTCGTGTTGCTAATCGACATCGATGAGTATCTTCTATGCCAGTGATATTGTCCTTGAACAAGTTGAATTCAATGATGAATTTTCGAATATTTTTTAGATGATTCCGTAACATTTCTTTCTTAAAAGTAGTGATGCATACAACTAACTATAACTTGTTTTGTTTCTCCTATAAAAAAAAAAGCAATTTAATATGCATTACGTCAAACATATGGTGTTGAATGTTATCTAATTCTTAATATAAAAGGTTTTCAATTACACTGAATTTAGAAAAGAGAAAAAAAAAGTCATTTGATAATTATAGTTTTCCTTCGATGCCAGTGAATATCATGCAGGTCATGAATTTCCTAGTATTGAATTAAAAATAAACTGGTAGCAGAATGACGCGAGAATTTCAGCATTTAACTTTTAACTTAAATTTTTTTTCATAATTTATCAACTGAGAGATGAAAAAAGATTCTCAAAGAAAAAAAGAAAATACCTAGATATTTTTCAAACATATTTGTTCCGTCCTGTCAAGCGGATAATGAGAAATAGTCACTCAAATTCTTTTTTTCAAGTGAATAATGAGAAAATATTCATCACAATGAATTATGATCATTTAATAAATCATTTTACCATTTTGTGTTAACTAATTGTATTTGTTTTGGATTTCGTGCTCATTCAGAAACGCTTTGATTTCTAAAAGTTATATCGTACTATTCATATTTGGCTTTCAATTTCTATTATTTTCAATACTGAAGTTAAGAACATTCTTTCAGGTTATGAGATCGAAAAAAAATGGAAGTCTTTGATATTGTTGTTTTATTGTAGAACATTGGTCTGAAAGTAAGCTTTTCTTTGTTGCCAATTGCTTAATGATGATTGTATAATCAGGTGTGGCAGCATCCATAAAATCGTTTAAGATATTTAACGAAAAGATTTTTAAAATTAACGCCAACAGTTGCATTACAGTAGAATTTAACGAAGCTCAAGGAACAAAACTTGATGAAATCTTATTGAAATTTGAAAATTCGTGAAAACAGGGTAGATTTTTATTACATTTTCAGGCATGATTGTCGTTTTAGCGACAAATTTATTTTTAACAAATCGTACCCTGTTATCT